ACACGAAGGGCTTGACGTTTGCGACCGTCGGGCCACATGGTACGCAGATCCTGTTTGAGGCGCCTCGCATATGTACATGTGGGCTCATTAAACATCATTTTCAGGTCCCGTACGATAAGCCCAAGGAGTCGCTGGAGATATTTGGAGATGTGGATCGCTGGACAGCCGTTGTGAACTAGTCTCGGCTATCAGTCCCTCACGACATCCCACTTTGGGAACCGTGTCGTGATGATAGCCGAGACTAGTTGTGAATATCTATATAGGGCAGTCTGAAGACGAGTAATCTCTCCACTACAGGGTCCTGATTTCCTGTTTAGTGCAAGTTTGCCGGCGGACAGAAGAGTAGCCATCCTCGAACGGCTAGTCACAATGGTTCTTCGCAACACCATCTCGCTGACGTGAACACGGCGCCTCATGTTCACCCGATACGCTTGAATGTTTTTCTCGCTGCACAAACCAGATCTTTGATTAATTCACGCTTCTCGACGCTACGCTACCGCGTAATATTATTATCACGCAGGGATTTTCCGAAATCGGTGCTCCTTTGCAATTGTCTGGCTCTCGATTGCCAAAATGGGACCTTCGTCGCAGCCTCGTGTCTCCTCCTCGCAGGCTTCTATGATTGGTGCGACTCTTTGATCCTGCAGATAGGCGCCATAAGCGAACGGAGGCGAATCTTTTGGCTTGCTGACTTCGTTGCTCTTCTTTGACCCCTCTTCCCAATTTTCAGGTTTCATGTCAAAAGTCCACAATAGTCAGAGTAATAGGGGAAATCAGAGTACCCAATCCCGAGTCGATTCTGTTGTCGATTCTGAATTCGATTCTGGTCCACTTCGAAGTCCGGCATCGAGCCGCAGTCGGTTTTTGTTGGGACTGAGAATCGAAATCGTCGATTCTGGCATCAGAATCGGTCTAGAATCGATTTCCGAATGGCCTCAGAATCAACACTGAATCGGCAACTCTGACTTTTCCTAATGGGAGCGCTACTCTACGAAGGTACATACCTTACAACATTCACTTACGGGTATGTAACCGAACGGAAGCAAACTATTCTGACCGAGACATCGCTGCGCTATGCTTGCGTAATGTCTCTAGCCTGTCATGGCTCAATTTTTGTGCCGCTTGCAAGTGGAGATGTTGGGCCCTGTGCCCGATTGCACACAGCATCTCTCAGCACCGGGGCTATGAGTAGCGCTTCGCATCTAATTTGACCCCTAGCGTTTTGACAAGACTAGTACAGGGCGCCAGGCTGTACCCGGGTTCCGAAGACTAATCCATGTCGGTGTATCCCTGCGGGGAGAAACAGTGGTGAAACCGCAAGCAAAGTACACACCGGACCTAAGATTCTTGATTCTAGAATCTGATAATTGGCATGAGGCATCAGCTTGGACCCACAACTCCCATTGGACGACGAGTCAGACCGAAGCCCGATTCTTCGCCTCAGTTCTAGCCCTCAAAATTGCTGGGCAAGCCTTCGACATTGCACGGTTAGTCTCTGGCAGCCAGATGCTTCAATACATATTTAAACTCGTGCCTCGTTGTATTGCACGGCGTACAGGTTCGTTTTTCATCGCTCTAGAGCAGTCCAGAGTGCGTAATTACCGGCCGCCTAGCTCGAAAGTGTCGGCATGCTCCATACTTACCTGCCTACCTACCATCAAATTTCGTTCACATTTTCTCCGGATATGAAGGCGCTACATGGGACTACAAACAGGCTCAGCTTCACCCCAAATATGCGGAACTCCTTTATGGAGGAACGGCCGCCTGTTGCCGTTGGCTTCGCATACGTTCCGGTATAAAACCCTGAGCCTGAAGGTCTTGTCCCTCTATCTGCGTACTCATCATCGGATAATGACGTTAACTTCCAATGGCTCTGTCTCTCCCCTGGTGTCTGCAGCTTGCGCGCTGAGTTTTGTCGCAATTGCAACATCCTCGTTGAGGAAATGGATCAAGACCAGGAAGCCATATGCTTTCATCCCAGGACCAGACCCAAGCAGCGTTGCAGGTATGCTCATCTTTGATTTTTTCCCTTCAATACAACTCACTCTCCCCGCCTAGGATACCTCTTGGATTTGCATAGCACGGATGCCCTTGGTTGGCACTTCAACATGCCGGAAGAATATGGGCACGTCGCACGCCTCAAGGGTGGACTTGTCGGGGTGTGTAGCGTATCTTTGGGACGTTCCTCCCTCATTCTGCGATCCTAGGCCGATGCGCTCTACATCACCGACCCGGCGGCGTTGAATTCTATTCTCATCAAGCAGCAGGCTTGGTTCCCCGAGTCTACTGAATTTGCCGGGTACGCCTCTCGCATATACTGTAGGTCGTCGCCTTCATACTTACCTTGAGAATAGATTGTTCGGCATTATTCATTGCGGTGACGGTGTTGCCTCTGTTAAAGGTCTGTCTTGTTTTTTCCGCATATAAGATGCCTAATGCAGAACCAACTACAGGTCGTGAGCACAGGAAACAGCGGAAGTACATGGATGCCCTGTTCACAGCTAGTCGGGTGTCTAAATTGACGCCAATGTTCTATCAAGTCACTCGTCAGGTACTTCAATGCGAATCCCGAGGAAAATGATTTTCTAACTTGCCACTCAGTTGGAAGCGAGACTGACAGCTGCAGTCGCCGGCAAAGCGCCGGGCCAGGTTGTGGATATGCTCGACTACTTGACTCGCGCGGCACTGGAAATCATCGGGACTGCCGGTATTGGGCACACGTTCAACTCCTTCGACGACAAGAGTGAGGCCTTTGATGAATTCCATGGCGCGATCACTTCCGTCTTGTGGGTTTTGATTATTCTCTCACTCTATCTGCAAGGCTGATGAGTTCGGCCCAGACCCCTGGCCAGTCGCCTGTTCCTGGCACTGCCTTTCCTCGAGTCTTGGAGGAAAATACGGCCTGTGTGGTTGCGTCGGACTCTGGCATCTATTGTAACATTCCCCTGGCCGGCAGCACGCAGAGTGAGTCGGAACTATCTATGTAGTTGTGGTTCAAACTTATCTTCTCACAGTTCAGGGCCGCCGTCGATGCTATGCACCCTGTGTATGTCAAACTCTACAACACTCGTCAAAAGGCTTTGGAAGAGGGTGGGTCCGCCGCTCTGGCCGAAACAGCGGCTGGCGGGAAGGACCTGATCACGTCGATGAGTATGGAAACTTTCCCTCTTATTTCACCGATATTAACCCACTATATTTCCCAGTTCAGGCCAATTGGGACGCCGACGAGGCGGATAAAATGCCCGATGATGTTGTTCTTGCGAATATAAGGTATGCTTCCAGACTTCATTGATCTCGACGTGTATTGGGTGTTGAGCCTCAATCCAGCTCCATCGTTCATGGTGGCCAAGAAACCACGTCTTCATCTCTCGCCCGGTTCCTCACCATCGTTGCGGAGGACGTTGATTTGCAAGAAAAACTCCGGTCAGAGCTGCGTGAAGCCAAGGCTGTAAGATTCACTTTTCAACCATATATTCAACATCACTAAATGTCCGGGTCCCGCAGAAAAAAGAGCCCGGAGAAGACTTGGATTTCAATGAACTTGAGAAATTACCGTTGCTCGATGCCGTGGTTCGCGAGATGCTCCGTATATACTCTCCAGTGACTTTCGTTTGGAGGCAGTGCGTTTCGTGTTCGCTACTCCTCCGTTGTTCAAATTATTGACCCTCTCCTAGAACGACCAAGGACGTCATGGTTCCGCTCACTTACCCCATCCGATCTACGATAACTGGTGAAGAAACTAAAGAGCTACTTATCCAGCAGGGGACCGCAGTGTACCTTGGATTGAGCGCGGCGAATCGTTCCACTGCTATCTGGGGTCCAGACGCGGCAGAATTCAAGCCCCAGCGCTGGTTTAACCGTGGTCCAAGCGAGTCAAAACTCCCGGGAGCATATTCCGGCATGTGGGTTTATTTCCTGTTTAAGATCCGAAAATGGCACTCAAATGTTACCCTAGGATGTCATTCTTGAGCGGCTCTAGAGTTTGCCCGTACGTATTTCGTTAAATTCCTTCTGTTATCCTATTCTGATGGTTGTTCCAGCGGCAAAACCTTTGCAATTCTCGAAATGAGTGAGCATTCCGCCCATTCGTACCGTCAATATTTGCTGAGCGGATTCTTCCCCTTTCAGAGCTTGTCCTCTCCGTCTTGTTGCTTGCGTTCTCATTTGAACCGATTTCGGCACCCATTGACTGGAGAATGGGAATAACACTCGAGCCTCGAGTTCGTGGGCGGGAGCCCGAAGGCGTCCAGGTTCCTGTCCGTGTCACGGCGCTGTAAATTTGGTATATTCCGCAGTGTGTGATATGCCCAGTGCTGAAAGCACTGTTTGAAGTAGTGGGCTCCATGAATTTGTACGGCGCTGATGTATTTTTACTTTCTGCTCTAGCTAGGGGTTCGAAGTAACCTCAAATGACCTTTACAACTTAACGCTACTTAACGGATGTTCATGATTATTTTTAATCATAATGCTTTGCCTTCTGATTTACTTTAAGTTTGAGGAAAGTCAAAGGAAGAAAGTAGCAAGAACTGGGCGGCACGCGAGCGAGTACTGGGACTGAGCAGCACTAGCAGGCTCCTGTTGGCGGTACTATTCTTGGGTCGAGTGCTATGTGCGCGCACTGCCTCGTTGAATGTACCTGCGGCGTAGTTTGTTGCCAGGTGCATTTGTTCCTGTTCCTGTTCCTTCTCCGTCATTAATCAATTTTAGTTGTGTAGTCTGTTGTAACACCCTACGCGTTTGCAACAGGTTCCCTTTTCTGGCTCTGAATTCCAACAGCTCCTTCCCGATTGTTACTTGCGGCAAGATCAGTGGTCGCTACAAATGTCGTCATACTTATTAATTGAACGGTGCCTTTCCGCGGTACCATGGTTTGAGCCCGTTGAAGGGAGGATTGAATGGCACCCATCTATTAGTTTTAATGATCCTGAATAATCCACGGTTCGAGTTAGCGGAAGTGTTCCCCCGAAATTGAGGCCTTACAGATTGGCCAAAATTTCACCGCCCGCCTAGCTCAATCGGATAGAGCGTCAGACTCTTATGACTTGACAACAGGCGGGGTTATCTGAAGGCTGCGAGTTCGACCCTCGCGGTGGGCTAATTATCTTTTGCTAATCTCAACTCTTTTCTCCTTTGATTTTTTTTAGACCTTGACATTATCACCGATAAGTATGCGACACTCATCTACGGTAATATCTATTAGATTTGGACCAAGGCGGGTATTTACAGCAGTTTGCGGAACTTAGGGTGTGGCTCATTTTTTATCAAATTTTGATGTTTCCACCAGGATGGCCACTGTAAGTTCAATTCCCAGCCGTTTCCCTTGAAATTATGACCGTTGAATTCGCATTTCCATTCCGGAGGGCATGGCTTCCTCAGATTCTTTGATGGCGAATCAAATTGCCAGATTGGGATAATATCCAAGTTTTGAGCAGGATGGCTGTAGTATGAGCTATATTTGTTTGATTAGGCTAAATTTTTGATACGAAGAACTCACATGTATTCCAGAGGGCATCAAATACCGGGATTTTCAATACAACTTGTATATTTGATATAGTGTACATTATGACAATGGTTCCAAATGATAGCAAGCATATATTTGAAGTAAAGGTCACATTGAAAATCCCGGTATGTCCTGCCCTTCGTAGTACTCCCAAATACAACATAACCAAAAACTAGGTCAATCGGACAACTACACAGAGTGTACGGCATGTCCTGTTCTTCAACACACTGTTACGAAGAACAGGACATGCCGTACACTCTGTGTAGTTGTCCGATTGACCTAGTTTTTGGTTATGTTGTATTTGGGAGTACTACGAAGGGCAGGACATACCGGGATTTTCAATGTGACCTTTACTTCAAATATATGCTTGCTATCATTTGGAACCATTGTCATAATGTACACTATATCAAATATACAAGTTGTATTGAAAATCCCGGTATTTGATGCCCTCTGGAATACATGTGAGTTCTTCGTATCAAAAATTTAGCCTAATCAAACAAATATAGCTCATACTACAGCCATCCTGCTCAAAACTTGGATATTATCCCAATCTGGCAATTTGATTCGCCATCAAAGAATCTGAGGAAGCCATGCCCTCCGGAATGGAAATGCGAATTCAACGGTCATAATTTCAAGGGAAACGGCTGGGAATTGAACTTACATTGGCCATCCTGGTGGAAACATCAAAATTTGATAAAAAATGAGCCGTGCCCTAAGTTCCGCAAACTGCTGTAAATGGATCTGGTTCGATATTCCATAGTTTCGGCCAATTTGACAATTTGTTCCAAACAAGCTCGGATTTACTCTGCTTATCGTAAAAGAATTTTCTTTGGTCAAAATAATGATCGATTGAAGAGTTGCCTTATTTGGATCTTGGCGTTGAGTTGGCCACGTCGTCACACGTGACCTTTATCTCTCAGAATAGCTATTTCTTTTCTCGAGGACCGATGCATAAGCACATCTTTGACAAAAAAAGAACACCAGTCAGCAACACAGCATCTACATAGCACTGCCTCCAATTCGCCTAGCATCGATCATTCCTCTTCACCACCATCACTTCATTACAAAGGCACCTGTCCATTTTTGGTTGCTTGCTCAGCACCCTTCTTCGCTGTGCTGCTGACAGACTGTAGCCCCGGATGGGAACTCTCCAAATAGGTAATGATTGTAAGCCAGCAGCAACGCACCAATGCGGCACCATTTGAACTTGGATTAGACTGAATGTTCGAAGCGTGGGGGTATCTGTTCAAATACTGATCTTCCAAGATGGAGTGTCCCCACTAGCACACAGGTAATGGAAACTGTTCGCCCCAAACCCAAGAGAATACGTCCCCCGAAGCCCCGCACTCAGCCCTTGAAGCGCGGAAGGGCCTGCCTTCCTTGCCGGTGTGTCCTTACTGTCTCGGTCTAACATGAAGTGCAGCTCACAATCACTACTCTTTACAGTCATCTCAAAATTGCAAGTAACCTTACCGCTTGATACGCCCATTTTGACTTTCTTTGACCACAGCGATGCGACGGAATAGTAGGTTCCCTTAGGAAAGCCTACCGAAATGGCCAATGACCCCTTCCAGCATCCAGTCTGCGGGAATTGCACCCGTTTATCAAAGGAAGAACCTTGTAAATTTACGGACCCCTTGTCGAGGATAAACCTCCAATACCACTCCGACAACGGAAATAACATGGCCGGAGGTTCAGGATTTCCCAGCCACGGCGGTATGGACGAATTCCATGGCCACAGTCCCCCGGGAGTAAACTTCCTGACGCCGGCATCTTCATCCAGTGAAGTTTATCCTGGTCAGAAATTCGCGAGTCCCATTGTAGCCCCTAACTGAGAGCTCCTCGCAGATGCACAGTTTGAATCCCTTTCGAACGACTCGTGCACAGAGGTAAATACCAAGGTTGAAGTATGACTTTGTTGCTCATCACACAGCACTTTCATAGGAACCGCCTTTCGAGACGATACAATTGCTGTCAGTATTCCCCCTACCAATATATTCCGTTCCGCGTTATTTAACCAACTGTAAAAGATTGGAGTGTTTCCTTCCACATGCGGTCCAATTTGGGTTCTTTTTGAACGTCGAACGGTTCCGTAACTCCTCCCTCGTACCCCAGATCCCATTCGGCGACATTCTGGGCCCCTCCCGTTCACTCCTCTCCGCGGTGTACCTATGGGGCGCGCACCTGTTCCAGTCTGGTCCCCTCTTCGAGTTGAAGCCATTATTTCTCAATCGGGCACTGCAATCCGTTTCAGCCGAGATGTGTGTGCCCACAGACTCCGTTTACACGATACAGACGATTCAGGCGCACATCCTGCTCGCAAACTACTTTTTCCTACATAATCGCTTCCTCATGGCGCAGCTTCATGCTAACGCTGCTGCGACACTGGCGCTCGGTTATCGGCTACATAGGCTTGGTTCTACCCTTCCATCTGCGTCTCCTATTCACCATGTAGACATTTCGTTCGACGCATATCTCCCCCCGGCGCAGGATTCTGTGGAAGAGGGGGAACGGGTCCGTTGCTTTTGGGCAATAGTGTCCCTCCAAGCGAACTTGAACCTAGCCTCCGGCTCTCCTACATGCCTCAGCTCATGTCTCCTGGAGTGCTTGGAAACGGAGATCAACACCCCTTGGCCTATGAAAAGTTCCGAGTATGAACCACAGTCCGGATATTTGTCGACGGATAACGGTGGCGAAGAAGCTACCCCGCGGTTCCAAGTGGATGGGCTTCATGGAATCCCATTCTCGGCTCAGGCATCAGTGCTTCTTCATCGTGCCTCGCGCTGCGCGGAAAAATGGTCTTCAGGTACGCATCTTGCATATCATACCTTTTCATGGCTCGCTAATTGACCACAGATTTATCGCCCACGGAACTGGCGTCCTATATGAATTGCTACGCCTGGCTCAACGGTCGCATCACTCAGTTCTGGGATGGGCTCCCTCCAGTCTACCGCTCAACAGACGCCGACCTCGTGTTAACCCATGCCTTGGTCGCTGGGGCCTCGATTAAACTGCATCAGCCATTCGAAATGTTGGAATCGGCGGCCCTGATGAAAGCAGCGCGCGCAATTCTTCGAATCCTTCACGACACAACCAGTTCAACCTCCACGCCGCCGCATGCGAATCCCGTCATTGGAACGATATGCGCTCTGGCGTGCAGCGTCTTCGTCAATGAGATACAACGGACGCGTCAAATGTGGGCAGAATGGGCGCAGACTCTCGACGTGGACGTCTTACCTGTCTGTGAGCAGGAGAGTACTCTTCTCCTCAATTTTCAGGATGGGATAAGGATCCTGGAGATGTTGGCTGCTGGAAATCCTCTGGCTGGTAGGTTTGCAACTCGAACGTCGAACCCGTGGTTGACTAGTGACAGGGCATCAGCTGGGCAAAATTCAACAGCAGTATAACTCACTGTCGGTCTCTGTGATTGTTTTATGAGTTTTGTTCCGCGATTACGATGGACCAAAAACTTCAGAGGAAGGCCAGTATTTGCACGAAACTTGTGGTTGGAATTTCTGTATAAGTTTCTTTCCAAGCTGTAATTTTCTCGGACATCTCTATTCGCTCGGACCTTTTGAGACGGTTTGTTACTCTGGCCAAATGCCGATTGGATACCCTAAACTAAGCTAGGGAAATCCGCTTGGGTTCTAATTCAACCAAAAATCAACAGTATGGTGGGCGGAAAATTTTTAATGTTGAGGAAAAGTCCGAAGGAAGCGGCGGCGGAGCCCGGATGACTGATTGGGTTTTTTGGACGCAAAACGAAAGAAAAGACAAGAACTTGAAGAAGCAAAAATCATAGGCGGGAATCTCCGGATATGAAATGTCTGATTGGCAATCATGGACTCGGATCATTAGGTCCTGGTCGACACATTGTCCGAAGTTGCTTGAGCGGCTTAGCGCTTAGTGCTCAGTAGTCGGGCACAGAACTATACGGCGATAACCTGGCCTTATTCCCACTCCAAATGCAGCCGGCCGTCGCTCTTCAGCACCCTTGAGACTTCTTCGGCGCTCTTCAGGCGCGCTGCCCTACAACTTCGTCCTGAATCATCCAACTCGAGCTCGTGGCAGAAAATGGACGCGAGAGACGCTTGTTGAAGATGAAAAATGCTATGCTCTCAAGTCATCTTCCGTGACCTTCACACTGCGTGGCTAAAATTCGACAAAGCCCGGGGTATTGAGAGGGTGAGCGGCGAGCCCCACTGGATTTCGTGCTCCTGAATGGAAGGGGCGAAACTGCTGGTTCCTATGACCATGCGACCCTCTCATTTTCATCTCCTCCAGCTGTCCCATGTGATCGTTTGTGCGGCAAGGTCTCTGCAGTGTGGCAAGACCTTGACGGATGTAGTAACAGCAAGATTAGCCCTCGGCTCACGTCGTCTCGCGATAGCCGGTGCCCCACATATAAACCGTTCGCCAGGACTCGTTTAAATCCATTCGATATGAACTTGAAGTCTCTTGTGTTCTTCCTGTATTTCCTGATTCTCCAGGCTTCTGGACAATCTCCCGTTGTCGTTACAACGACATCTGGGCAACTTCATGGCAGTGAGTTCGACGGAGGTAAGTTTTCGATTTATGTTCCCCGCAAGTTCGGTT